TGGATGGATGGATGGATGGATGGATGGATGGATAGATAGATAGATAGATAGATAGATAGATAGATAGATAGATAGATAGATAGATAGATAGATAGATGAAGGCCCCTTTTTAGGAAGCTTCATAATATCTTATTGTTGGGTCTATAATTATAGAAGCTGAGGCAGGAATCTTGTGAGTTGAAGGACAGACTGGGATACTTAGAGAAAATGTCTCAAAAATGAGAGAGTGAGAAGAGAAGGGAAGGAGGAAGAGGGGAAAAGGAAGAGATGGGAAAGAAAAGAGAAAACAGGAGAATAGGAAGAGGAAGACAGCTGCTGGGTTGAGGAGGGGGTTCTGCAGTTAGAGTACTTGCCATTGCAGACAGAGGACTTGAGTTCAAGTCCCAGAAGCCATGTGACCCGTCAGCAGTGAGTGTCCATTACCCCAGTGCTCCGACTGAGTGTGGGGCAGAACAGAGTATCTCTGCAAGCTCTGGGCCCACTGCCTCAGTCTCTCCTAAGAGGTCGGAACTGACTTTTGAGGTTGTCCTCTGGCCACTGTATGTGCACTGTGACAGGAGTGCCCCCCCCCACACACACACAGATGTACACAATGCACACGAGCATCTGCACACTCTGTGAGGTCTGAAGAGTGGGACAGTGGTCCAGGAAAGGTCATGCCCGTTTAAAAGGGACACAGCAGAAAGCTTGCTGCCACTCCTCTGACATGTGGACGACATTTCATGAAAGCAGCTGCTGTGTTGGGGTCATGAAGACAGCCCTCGCCAGGCACTGCACTGGCTGGCACTTGATCTGGAACTTCTGACCTTCAGAACTATGGGAAATAAATTTCTATGGCTTAAGCCACTTGGTTTGTGGTATTTTGTTATAGCAGCCTGAACAGACTAACACAGTATCAGATGTACTTTGTTAATCAGGTTACATAAAAATCTACTGGGAATAGACCTTTTACCCAGGCATGACTTTTTAACATATATCAGCCATGTAGAAAGTACTGACTTAATATGCTACTCTCTCCTGTGGGCACATTCATTGTGTAGAATTTTTACAACCACATTGCTGGTGTCATTGCTTTCTTTTACTCCAGCCTTTTCATTGTTAGGAAACCCACAAGCTCATAGAGTAGGTGCAGGGTTTCTAAAGCTCTAATTTTATGAAGTTCAACTTGTATCATGAGTGATAAGCAATGTCAGTTGTTTCCTTGAAGGACTAAATCCCCTAAACAGCCATGGTTTCCGTGTCAGCTGTTCTTCACAGAAAAATGGTGTTCGGAAGAATGCTCCTAGGTAGCTCCCAGATAGCTATGGGCATGTTTTCCTCCAAAGGTCATCCTCCTCCCTCCTGAAGTGTAAGTGACAAAGACAATACTTGGAGTTGAGACATAGAAAAGTAATGAATTTTACTTGTGCAGTGAGAATATTCTAAATGGAGCTAGCTCTTTTTTCACTGCTAGTGTGTGGTAGGGGGAGTAGTGTGACTGTTCTGTCCTGTGCAGATGAAATATTTTACCTTCCAAGGCTTCTAGACCATTGCTGCAAATGGCAATGTAGTCCGTTTGTGTAAATGCCCTGGACTATGACTAAAAACAGTTTGGACCATGTAGGCCCCTGAATGGTACTAAAAGACCCGCAAGAGTCCATGAACCGTATTTTGAAGATGAAGACGACTGTTTGATCAGGCAGACTAAAACAGAACAGGTGTGAATCTGATGAAAGAAGAAGCTGCACAGGGAAGACAGTGACACTTTGTGTGAGTTCTAATAGTTCTGAGACAGCTGTGGCGTGGTCTGCATAGTGAGTGCTAGGTCAGCCAGGGCCACATGGCCAGACCCTGCCTCGAAATAAGTAAATAAGTAAATAAAACAACAAAAAGATAGTGTTAGAATGACATATACCCTAGTCAGAAAAAATAATTTCAGCTATAGATCACATAAGAAAAACATCCCAATGAGCCCTCATCCCTGTATCCCAGACTTAATACTGTCAAGTCTTTGTTCTTTGTTAAGACTACAGTATTTTAAAACAAACCACAGACATGTCACCTCACTCCTGTGTGTTTTGATATATGACTAAAAATCTGGGCATTTTCTTTTTTCTTTCTTTCTTTTTTTTGTGATATATATTTTTTATTTTACAATACCATTCAGTTCTACATATCAGCCATGGGTTCCCCTATTCTCCCCCCTCCCATGCCCTCCCCTTACCCCCAGCCCACCCTCCATTCCCACCTCTTCCAGGACAAGTCCTCCCCCGAGGACTGTGATCAACTTGGTAGACTCAGTCCAGGGAGGTCCAGTCCCTTCCTCCCAGACTAAGCCAAGTGTCCCTGCATAAGTTCCTGGTTTCAAACAGCCAACTCATGGAATGAGCACAGGACTTGGTCCCACTGCCTAGTTGCCTCCCAAACTGATCAAGCCAATCAACTGTCTCACCTATTCAGAGGGCCTGATCCAGCTGGGAGCCCCTCAGCCTTTGGTTCATAGTTCATGTGTTTCCATTCATTTGGCTATTTTTTTTTC